CTGCAATGAACACCATCATTCATTGCTTCACGAGAATAGCCGTCTGAGCACCATCATCAGCAAGCGACTGTTCTATCACAGCTAGGAGGAAGTATCACTTTATTGCCAACTTGTGCTATATACCTACACGTCAATCATCAGCGGTTTCTTGTACGTGCTTTACTGGATCCCTGTTCCCAGAAGAGCAAAATTTGTAAAGCGCTCGTAAAGAACCTTCGCGTAGCTACCCTACCAGTAGCTAACGATGACGTGTGTGAACTTTCGATTAGCGCGTCAAATGATGAAAAAATACCTTTCACCCTTACCGCAAAGATTGTCCGTGAAATCGGGTTAAAAACACCAGCACGCCACCTAAATAAGGCAATATTGGACAAATTTGCAAATCTCAAACTCGCTGATCCGAACTTTTACACGCCGTCAGGAGTAGCCTTAGTGTTCGGCGGCGACGTGTATTTTAAAATTATGCGGTGCGAAATAATGTCAAATCCCGGCGTCCCTACAGCCCAAAATAGTATATTCGGTTGGGTCCTTTCTGGCCCATGTGCCCTTTAAGGCATTCGACACCCCCCCAATCAGTTGATAATTGGATTTAAATAAAAAAAAAACGCACAGAATTATGAATTACATGAATTTATATTAGTACTGCTCAACATATTTCATACGCATTTATGTACATATAAAAACATATTTATCTAACATACATAATTTACCTTAAGTTTAAAAAAGAATCATAATAATTAATTGGACTTGATTTCTTTATATATGAATGAATTTAGAAGTTTTATTTATTGCAATCTTTACATATTGCAAGGCGGCCGGCAATGTTAAAGCCAAAAGCCTTCAACGGTTAGGAAACACTGGTTTGCTTTTCGGCACTGTGGTCTGCAGCCTACCGAAAAGCAACCGGTGTTTCCCTTATGATATTGTATGCTTATATAAGTATGTAACTCGGATTTTGAGGGCAGTTAAGTTGATCAGTTACGTTGACATCAGTCATTCGCGCTTCAGACCGTTCTACCTAGGCAGCAGCAATCTACGCACTTTCTTGTAACCGCCCTGAGAATAAAACAAAGTTAGTCTTTTTACTAATATAACCTTTTCGTCTTTTATTCCAATCTTTTATAAACGTCATATTTGTTGCGAGTTCGCACCGGCGCAAAAAGGAGGGTCGCCACCCAAAGTAACCGGTATTCTGGAAAAACTACAAAATGGT